TGTTTTCAATGATTTTATCCACCAAATAAAGTTTTAAAAACTATTATAAGGTAGTACTGTAATTTATGAACTGAAATTTATTCATTTTTGGTCTGCGATGTCTTGAATAAAGATTCGTGTGAGAACTGCGTCCCCTTATGGAGAAAACCCTCGTTCGTTGGCAAGTTTATTTTCAAAAAATTGGCCTCGCCACCGAACCTTCGAATAAAAAATTGCAGAGATACTGCCACTGAAAATTTCCAGCTGAGTTCTTATGAAATAAATTGTTAAAAATTCGGATCCTTGAAGTCGTCACTTATTGTAGCGCAGCAGCAGCATTTCTTGAATCTCGCATTCCAGCATTCATTTCGCTGTTGTTCAGTGTTCTTCATTTCTAACCAGCCCATTCTCGTGATTAATTTCAGGAAAACCGGTGCTCTGTCGACTATTTCGAGTGCTGCAGCTTCACCGATCTTTGCGGCGAGGATGTCGACTGCCTGATACAAGTTTCCCTCGTTCCACCTTCAGCGAGCCAAAGTAGTTCACCTGAAACAACCAGTTCTTCGTCAGAAACGAATTCTTCGTCTGAAGCAACAATCACACCTCCGTCGATCGCCTACAAACCGGTCCCGCCCACGATTCGAGAACCTCCTGCGCTGTCAGGTGAGGCTTCTTTCACCGTTCAGGCCGAAAAAGCCTCGTTCTCATACACGACCGACGCTGACGAGCAGTATTCTGTCAAATCACAGTGAGACCCCGAGATACAAACACCCCTACATATGGACGATTCGACTTAGGAACACTTACAACTCGAAAAATCTACCCCCCAACATCCGGACAGTGGCTCGAGATGCAGACATTTTTTCTAAATTTCTGGAAGAGTTTAAAATATTTTTTTATTTTTGTAGTTCTTGAAGAAATTGAGCTACTGTATTTACATTCAGAAATGCTCTAAAATCTAAATGAATTTCATTGCCAAGTGACTAAATTCATGATAAAAAATAGGCTAATTTTGGGCCTATTTTTTATTTCTTTCCATCAGCTATGTGCACAGTATATCAAGACTTTCTTGTTGTTTGCTTCTTGAGATCCTTCTGATGCCAAAATATATCAGAATCAGTGTTTTTCTTCTGTGCATTCATTTTCTATATTTTGAAGTTGAGAAAAGATAATTTGACTTAATTTTTTGAAGGACTATTTGTAAGAATTTAACTATACAGAGCAACCAAATAAAATTATTTCCCGTTGAAGTCCATGGGAAAACGAGGTCCATCATGCGGAAATTCTGGCTTATAGGGACAAGCTCCATGCACGAATTATGTCCGCATCTCGGGGTCCAACTTTCTAAATTATGAAAACGAGCATAGATGCCCTATATAGTAAGAATTCCGGGCTGAATAGTGAATGCTCCCATGATGACTTTCAGAGTTTTAGTTCTTGGAAACTTGGAATGTGGCTTTTGTTTTTGTCTCATGCGTACGAGATAAATCTGGAGAATTATGAACTCTAATTTCAAAATGAAGCTTCCACTCTCAATCTGCTGTAATTTTACTGCCATTCAATTTTGTAAGAATTGTACAGTAAACATATCTTTTGATTTGTAATGGTGATAACATTCAAGATGAGCTAGGAAATCAAGTGTAAGGTAACCTCCGCCTTTAATGTTGGCATGGCTGATTTTAATTGTTTTTTGCATATGTCAGGTTAGTTTAGTAAGCAAAAAATAATTAGAAAAGTCTTCAATTTTTTCATGAAGATGAGTGGGCCAGGAAACATTCGATAAGGCATTTAAAAATTTTAAATTTAAAAAAATACAGAGTATGAAATCGAAATTGAGTTAACGGTTTATTTCTTTCAAAAATTGAAACAAAAAACTCAGAATAATAAAAGCGCTTCAGCAGTCAAGACTCAAGCGAATATTTTTGCACTACACACATTATCCTTGGGAAGATTATTGCTTCTCTGATGTACTTCAGATCAGTAGCTCGTTTTTTTGTTTCTGTTTTTTTTTTGCCTTGATAGAGGCAAACAATATTAAAAACATTCCCATTCCCACCTGAAGTTATTTTTTCGAAAATGTCTTTTAATATGAATTACGTAAGTGAATTTTTATAACCATCGAAAATCTTAATTTTGCATATTTAGCAGCTCTTGTGAATTACTCTGCTCAAATAACAAACCCCCAGGCAAGGGCACCGTTAGCCTGGGGAACGTTACTACTAATCTAACTTAATTCTCTTCACTGCGAATACTGACCCATACATAGCAACCAGGATCCCCCATCCTCAGAAATTTTAGCGGGATCTCGGAATTTTGGATCCGCTTTTATTCTTTCACTTAGGGATGGGTTGGGATAATATTATAGATATCGGGACAGTGAAGAGAATTAAGTTAGATTAGTAGTAACGTTCCCCAGGCTAACGGTGCCCTTGCCTGGGGGTTTGTT